TGGTAGGGATGGAGTCTCACTATGTTGTGCAGGCTGGTCTCAAACTCCTGGGCTCAAGTGATCCTCCCATCTCATCCTCTCACAGTGCTGGGGTTAGAGGCGTGAGCCACCGAGCCTGGCCTCTGTAATTGTGCCTTTGAAGTTGTTTGGCTGTGTCGGCTGCAGGCTGCAGCTGCTCTGCAGTCCTCACGGGTACCTGGGAATTCTTGCAAAGTGAGAAGATCTAATTTACCAATTGTTTTCAAATGTCATGAAAAATTTCAGAATACGGGATTGAACAATTAGTAAAGTCAGCATGATGTTTCCCTTGGCAGACATTTAATTAAAATTGTATTGATTTTCAGTCTTGTAGTTTTATTTTTGTATTTGGGAGCATATCTATTTTTAGTTTGCTGATAGACTGAGTCTGAGTTGCCCGGTAGTTACAAGGACCTCAGCAGGGTTGTGCTGAGCCTGGGACCTGCAGCCAAAGTATAGCAAAGCAGGGGCTGAAACCTGGCTCTCCCGCGTCCTGATCTGGTCAGCACCAGTGGGTGCCCAGGCTGGAGAGAGGAGGGAGGAGGACAGTGCTCTGAAGCCCAGCGACTGAGGGTGGAAGGGGCTGCAGAGCCCAGGGCGGGGTCTGAGGAGTAAGAGGAGGGCTGGGTGGCATGGGTTGGATGGGGTGGGGTGGGTAGGTGGCAGGCCTGGGGCCTCACCAGCAGCCAGAGGAGAGGTGGCATCGGATTTCAGGGGGGCTGGGGTGGGCCTGAGGTAGAGGCATGTGGTGGGGCTGTGTGCTCAGTGGGGGAGCATCTGTGTCTTTAACAAGCCCCTCAGATTTGGCTGCCCTGCCGGAGAGCAGAAGCCCCAGTCTAGGCGGTTGTGAGGGGTTTTCTTCCCCAGGGTTCCTGGGCTCCATCACTCCGAGTCCCTTGTGTCCTCCCTTCTCCAGGGTGGCTGGTGCCCCACCTGAAGAAGTTTAGGTCCATCACCCCCAGTCTTTCCAAAGAGTCAGGCCACAGTCTGGCTTGGTGTCCATCCAGTCCACCAGACCTCTGGACACTGGAGTCCTGGCCAAGGCCTCAGGGGTCCTGGTGAAAATGTGGGCTGGGCTGGGGTAGGGACAGGGGCAAGGACACATCGCACCCTCCCCACTTCAGCCTCTCCAGCAGCATGATGGATTTTGCCCATTAAGCATAAACCTAATCAATTGATTTGCCACCTGAGGCTCCGTCTGACACCACTGCCCACCCTCAGCCCCCATCAGCCCAGATGGATTATTGGCTGGGAAGATGGAGCACCACAGTGCCGGGAGGGAGATGGAATCAGAGGTGGGCTCCTGGTGCCCTTCTGCTGGCCCTGTGTGGGGCCCACTGCCTCCCCTGCACAGCCCTGAAGCCTCCAAGCTGCCCCTTCCTAGGCAGGGTGCTGGAACCCAGCCCTGCCCTTCGGGGTGGCCTGCATCCTTAGAGGAATGGTATTGGTGCTGTGGTCTCTGGTCTGGGCTGAGCTCCCTTGGTGCTTGGGGGCCCCCTTGGGTGGTTGCTTAGCACCAACAGCCTCCCCTCCAGGTTCCCCCTCCCCTACCTCCTGGGCAGCCCCAGGCCCTTGCGTCTACCTACAGAGCTCTTCCTGTCTCCCTCTCACAGACCAACACGGGCATCCGCAAGAACCTGGAGCAGGAGATCATCCAGTACAACTTTAAAACCTCCTTCTTTGACATCTTCGTGAGTGGCCTTGGGAGATCCTGGGGACCCTGAGCAGGGAAATGACTTCTGCGGGGTTCTCCTCTTTGCATGGATATCCAGTCTGATCAGAGACTCGGCCCCTATCCTTAGGGAGCCATCAGTCTTTAAAACTGTCCCTCCACAAAGCCCCACCTTCAGAGAGCCACAAGTGGGGGAGGGAAGATAAGACCCCAGTCCAAGGTTACATCCAAATTTTCCCAGAGAAACGTTGAGTCAGTCATTGTCCCCTGAGGCATGCACGCCCATGGAGAGGGAACATGGGGGCAGGACCAGAGGGGAGATCAGCCTGCAGCAGGGTGGGGGACATTGGCTTCCTGTGACACCCGGCTCCCGTCCTCTACCAGGTCCTGGCCTTCTTTCGCTTCTCCGGACTGCTCCTGGGCTATGCAGTGCTGCGGCTCCGGCACTGGTGGGTGATTGCGGTAAGATGCCATGTTCCTGGCAGCCCTGGGCCCTAGCAGGGCTGGTGGAAGGGATGGGATGGAGGAGGACTCACTTCCCAGCCTCTGCTTCCCCCTCCCTCCATCCCTTCCCTGGGCAGGTCACGACGCTGGTGTCCAGTGCATTCCTCATTGTCAAAGTCATCCTCTCTGAGGTCAGTGGCTCAGGGTCTGGCTGGTCTGGTGGGTGTCTGACCTGAGTGGTGTGCTTCTGGAGAGGAACATTTCTCTGATTTGGAGTGTCTGTCCCTGTTGTCTGGGATGGGGGAGAGGGAATCCTGAATCCTGTCCTTTGGTATCTCTAAGGAATCATTCTTCACCTGCTTCCCTGATTCAGCCCCCTGAAGGCCCAAAATTCAGAAAGTTCTTTCTCCAGCCTAACCCTGGTTTATCCTGCTACAGACTTGAGAGGGTTCCCAAGAAGCTGCTACTAGGAATGGGGTGTATGCCAGTTTGGTTGGCTAGAGTTGGTGGCTGCAGGAGGGGGCTCTGGGTTGGGGTGACCCCTGCCATGGAGCTCAGCCCCCTCCCTCCACAGCTGCTCAGCAAAGGGGCATTTGGCTACTTGCTCCCCATCGTCTCCTTTGTCCTCGCCTGGTTGGAGACTTGGTTCCTTGACTTCAAAGTCCTACCCCAGGAGGCCGAAGAGGATCGATGTGAGTGCTCAGGGGTAGGGGGTGCAGTGAGGTTTACTGCAGCCCCAAGAGAGGTGAATTGTGGGCATGAGAGTCAGTCTTTTGGTTTTTTTTTTTTTTTTTTGAGATGGAGTCTCACTCAGCTGCCCAGGTTGGAGTGCAATGGTACCTTCTCAGCTCAGTGCAACCTCCGCCTCTCAGGCTCAAGAGCTTCTCCTGCCTCAGCCTCCCGAGTAGCTGGGATTACAGGCACCTGCCACCCCGTCCGGCTAATTTTTTTGCATTTTTAGTAGAGATGCGGTTTCACCATGTTGGCCAGGCTGGTCTCGAACTCCTGACCTCAGGTCATCCTCCTGCTTCAGCCTCCCAAAGTGCTGGGATTACAGGTGTGAGCCATACCTGGTGAGAGGTCTTGAGGCATCTTGCCCACCTCTAAGCAGCCTCCAGTAGCCGGAGTGGGAACCTGGGGTGGGGGTGCCCCAGGCTGCTAGGGTGTAACTGTCCTGGGTCTGGGCCATGGCGGCCCATGTCTGCTCCTCCAGGGTATCTTGCTGCCCAGGCTGCTGTTGCCCGTGGACCCCTGCTGTTCTCCGGCGCTCTCTCTGAGGGCCAGTTCTATTCACCCCCAGAATCTTTTGCAGGTGAGGGCTGATGTGTGGGGGAACTGCTTTCAGGGAGGTGTCTTGTGGGGAAAGGGGTAGGCTGGGTGTGTTCTTTCTATTCCTTCTATCAGGCTCCCTGGGGAAAGCCAGCAACCCTCTCCCACACACTTTTATCCCCCACATCCTTGCACTCACATTCCTGAACCCCACTGCCTCCCCACGCTCCCCACCCCCGCCATTGTTATCTGTGCCTGTTTTCTGCAGGGTCTGACAATGAATCAGATGAGGAAGTTGCTGGGAAGAAAAGTTTCTCTGCTCAGGTATTTGTCTGCCCACTCCCGACTTCTGCCTTTGGAATGGGCACCTGGAAGAGGGCGGTGTGGGGCTCAGCCCAGGTCAGGGGGTTTCCCAGAAGAGGCTGAACCTTGGTTACTGCCCATCCATCTGGGTGTCTGCCCCACCCCCAGTCCAGCCCCCTGGGTCTGCCTCATGCCTGGGCCCACAGGACAAGCAGCCACAAGCCTGCAGGGCCCAGGGAGACCAGCCCAGACCCCCCATGTGGCTTGTCTAGAGAGAGAACAGGCCATGAACACGAACATGGTGGGCCGTGGGCCCCAGGCTGACCCCTCCCTGCTTCCTGCTTCCGTCCAGGAGCGGGAGTATGTCCGCCAGGGGAGGGAGGCCGCAGCAGTGGTGGACCAGATCTTGGCCCAGGAAGAGAACTGGAAGTTTGAGAAGAATAATGTAAGAAGCCCTCTCCCATCTGATTCTGCCATGCGCATTAGGTGTTTCCACTCCCTTTTCTGAGGCCAAAGGAAGAAACCCAAGGATTACATGGGTTGGAGCCATATTCCTGCCCCAAGAGAGGGAGCTGGGCTCTCAGGTTGGCAGGAGGTGGGGCTGGATTGGATGTTCCCTGCCCCCCCCCACCTTCCCCTCGGCCCCCCTCCCCACACCCTGTCTTTACTTCCCTGCTGCCCTGCCCCTCAGCTTCAGGCTTTGAAGGGGACGCCAGGCTTCTGCCTGCACCCGGTGTTTTGTTTCATGATCAAAACAACATTATCTACAAAGATCGTAGAGAGCTTAGAAAACAGGGAAACAGGCCCCAGTCCCTCTCTCTGGCCGGTTCCTGTGGCAGCCCCATTGGCCTGCAGCCGTGCTCCCATCTTTTAACTCAGCATCAAAAGCCTCTCTCCCGCCAGTGCCGTGGGTTTGTCAGGAGCTGCTGTTTTGTAACGGCTGCTCAGATGTCCCCAAACTCCCAGAGGTTTCCATCCTGAGCTGTTAAAAACCTGCCCTGCCTGTCACCCATTTCTGTGCCACCAGCCCATCCCCTGCCTCCACTCTCCTCCCTGCCACCTCTGTCCCTGCCACAGGAATATGGGGATACCGTGTACACCATTGAAGTACCCTTTCACGGCAAGACGTTCATCCTGAAGGTGAGTGAGGGGATTGGGTGGCCTGGAGCCCCAGACAGCACTGGTGGCTCCAGGAAGGGACCAAGGAGCCCTTTGGTGGGTGCCCCCCAAGAAGGAAGGGTTGGTCTGCCCGAGCCCATCTGGCACCACCCAGCCCTCTGCTGCTCTACCCTAGACCTTCCTGCCCTGCCCTGCGGAGCTTGTGTACCAGGAGGTGATCCTGCAGCCTGAGAAGATGGTGCTGTGGAACAAGACAGTGACCGCCTGCCAGGTGAGCCCCGCCTGGCTGCCTCTTAGGGCATGGGTCGGGGAACAGTCACGCCCCGGTGAGATCACTGAAGCACTCTGCGCCTCAGCTGCCCCATCTGTACAATGGGTGTGATGGTAACAGTGCCTGCTCGAGAGGGTTGGGAGGAGGGCAGGAGGAGTGCTCATCCGGTGCTGCCCAGGGCCTGCAGATGACGATAGCTCTTAGTGAAGGGGTCCGTCCAGAGGAAGCTGTCCTGGGGGGTTCCCATCCCTGGGGTTTTCCTGGGGCAGCCTGTTCCACACATCCCCGTTGACGACCTTCAGATCCTGCAGAGAGTGGAAGACAACACCCTCATCTCCTACGACGTGTCTGCAGGGGCCGCGGGCGGTGTGGTCTCCCCAAGGTGAGTCCCTGCCAGGCCCCCTCCGCTCAGCCAGGCCTTCTGCACTTTGGCCTTGGGTCCGTGTCCTCTGATCTAACCCTCCCTTCCCCAGGGACTTTGTGAATGTTCGGCGCATTGAGCGGCGCAGGGACCGATACTTGTCATCAGGCATCGCCACCACACACGGTGCCAAGCCCCCAACGCACAAATATGTCAGGTGAGCCTCGCCTTGCCTGGGGTCACCCCTGCCAGCCCCTCCCCTGGGAGCATTGAGCAGCGCAGGGTACGGCATGTACGGCTGGGCGCCTCTCCTGCTGAGGCTGCGTTCCTGTTGCCTGCCCCACTGGGCCCTGCCCCTCCCGGCCACTAATCCTGCTAATCTTGCTGCTCTATCTATGGAGGTGGGGGGTGGCGGACAGCTGGAACCAAGCCACCAAGGCTGGAGGGGATGTACATGGGTGGCTGGCTGGGGTAGACCATGGATGGGGACCCATGCAGGGAAGGGGCCTGAGAGCCGTGTGGTTACTCTGGGCTGATTGACCTGAGCCAGAGGCGCTATGTTCTGGGTTTCGTTTTCCTGCCTAAGGAGACTTGGGCTCTCCTCCTATTCACCCTGTCCTCACTCCCTCACCTTTCTCTGGAGTGGCTCAGGAGTCCCCCAGAGATAGAGGGCTTATGGTCTTCCGCACCTGTGCCTGGACTTCTGGAATCTTCCCTGCTGTCTCGTCTTAGTTGGTGGTGCTGTGGATGGCCCTCCCCATACACCCCACTCTTCCCCATCCCCTCCTTCCAGCAGAGAGCACTGTTCTTTGAATAGGACGCTGGGCTCTGCTTTGAGCACTGCACAAACTTGCTGGGAGTGGGGCAAGCTCACTTCCTCTCTGGGTGCCAACTTCCTTATCTTTGGCGTGGGCTTAGGCATGCTCAGTGGCACTGAGCGAGAATGAAATGGTGATGGGATGTGAACTGTGCCTCCCAGGCTTAGCCTCCTGAGCAGGCGTCCCCTCCTGAAGGGGAAGGGGTAAGAAGTGCAGCCCAGCCTACTCTGCCATAGCAGGGCTGACCTAGAATCTCTGGACAGAGTGGATGAGGGCTGGCAAGGCAGTGAGCTTCCTGCCCCTGGGGCTGTGCAGGCACCAACAAGCTGTTGTAGGAGGATTCAAGCATCACACAGTGGGTGGGGTGGGGGGCTGATTCTGCAGCCGGGGGGACACCTGTGCTAAGCCTTCTTGACAGGGTAGCTCTGCCTTTCTGCTTCCAGCCCAGTCCCAGCTGGGCCAAGAATGGAGTGTGAGTGGTGGGGGCACGGGGGCTGTCAGGGCCTTGCTCAGTTCCAGAGTCCCCCTAATGACGCCTCTCTCCATAGGGGAGAGAATGGCCCCGGGGGCTTTATTGTGCTCAAGTCGCCCAGCAACCCCTGCGTCTGCACCTTCATCTGGATTCTTAATACAGATCTCAAGGTAGGGTGCTGGGGGGCTGCCATGTGGGTTCGTGGAGTGGAGGGGACGCTGCTGCTGTCCTGGTTGCTGTGTGACCTTGGGGGTTCTCTGCCATGCCTGGGCCTCCCCTGTGTCAGCCTCCTTTCTTACTTGAAAATGTGGGTCAGGGCCCAGATGGTCTTTTAGCCCTGAGTTGCTGTAGGGCATGTGCCCCCTTCTTACCTCTGAGTCCCGAGGCCCTGAGGAGGGGTGGCTGGTGGCCAGCCCAGCCCCACATGGGTCTGTTTGTGTGGCTGGTGCCAAGAGCCAGGCACAGCATGTTCTTCCCACCAGGGGCGAGAGGGAAAGGGCAGGGCAGCCCAGGCTGGATTCCAGAACTTCACCTGCATTCTGGCCCAGAGCCCCCCTGCTGGTGCCAGCTGCAAGAGGGGACCCTGCTGAGGCCAGACCATCAGGTGACTTCTGCCTGCCTTCCCCCAGGGCCGCCTGCCCCGGTACCTCATCCACCAGAGCCTCGCGGCCACCATGTTTGAATTTGCCTTTCACCTGCGGCAGCGCATCAGTGAGCTGGGGGCCCGGGTGTGACCATGCCCCCACCCACCCTGTGGGCCAGGGTCCTGTCGCCACCACTTCCAGAGCCAGAAAGGGGGCCAGTTGGGCTTCGGCTGCCCACACAGGACCTGGCCCCAAGCTGCCACCCTCCACCGAGCCACGCAGTGCCTGGAGTCGACTGTCTGAGCAGGCTGTGGGGTGGAGCACTGGACTCGAAGGCTCCGCTGGCTGGAGGAAGCTGTGTCTGGCCTGCTGATGTTTACATGGCGTCCTGCCTCCTGGAAGAGCAGATTGCTGTCCCCTGCCTTGCCAGGGGCAGGGTCTGGGCTGGGCGCCTGACTTGGCTGGGGAGGGCCAGGGCCCTGGGCAGGGCAGGGCAGCCTGTAACCTGTCTGAAGATGAAGGAGGTCTTCATCTGCCTGCACTGTCATCGGTTTTTTAGGATTATTGAAAGAGTCTGGGACCCTTGTGGGGGAGTGGGTGGCAGGTGGGGGTGGGCTGCTAGCAGTGAATCTCTGCCTCTCTCAGGCTGTCCCCCTCCTCCCAGGGCCTCCTGGGGAACCTTTGTAATTTAAGCCAATTAAAAATATGAACTAAAAAAAAAAAAACAAAACCCAACCCCTCCCGCTGCCTTGCCTCTTGAGGGAAGATGAAGGCAGGCAGCAGCTTGGATGAAGAGGGAGACCCCTTGGAGCCTCTCAGGGGCTGACAGGAGGGCGGAGCCAGGGGAGCCAGTTCTTGGAACATCCCCCCACGTGCCCCCGTTTCCTGACCTATTCAACTGAGCCGATGACTGGTCAGAAAAATATGCCCCACCCCCTGCCAGGCCTCAGCCCCAAAGTCTCTAGCCCAGGATTGGAGGTGGGGGTACAGGCACCTGGCAGTGCCCACAGCAAGCCTTGACTCTCTGGCTGGTGTGGAGGTAGGGCTTGAGCTTCAGGGTCTCTGAGGCACCTCTGGAATCCTGGCCACCTGGAGCCCTGGACCTCCCAGACTCCACTCACCCATCCCGTCTCCCTGCACCGCACTCACACCAGGGGCAGCCTGGAGCTGGATCGCAGGCTGGAGCCAGGCCACTGCCTGCCCTCCTCCCTTCTGGCTGGCCTGCCTGCTGCAGGCTTCCAGCGGAGCCAGCTTCTTCGGAGCCCGGTGGATCCTGTCTCAGTCCTGCCTAGGTGTGTGACCCTGGGCAAATCTACCTCTAACTTCTGCTTCCTGTTTTATGAAAATGGGACTGATGTCACAGGGTTGTTATGAGATTAAAAAATATGAAGAACCGAGCACAGTGCTCAGTAATCAGTAGTCTGCAATTCTGCACCCAGGTGGGTGCCCATGGGCCTGACCTTCTCCTGGGTACTCTGCTGTCCCCACGGGGTCCTGAACTCGGCCCCCGTCACTACCTTTCCTGTTGCCGTTTGCTTTGTCTGCTCGGCAGCGTCCTCACTACTCATCCCCCCATGCCCACCACCTGCGTGCCAGCTTCTTGCACCATGAGTTGCTACCCCTGGGTGCTGGGCTGTCTCCACAGCCATCTGTCCCCCTGTTCCCCATGAAGGAGAGTCAGACCCCTCCCAGGTGGCACATTGGAGCTGGCAGCCTCCAGAGCTCTTCTGGTCCTCTTATAGTGGCCAGAAGTGGGGAAAGGGGCCCAGAGAGAGGCGAGGGGCAGGGACTGACCCATTGTCACACAGCCTATGTATGGCTGATCTAGGGCTTGAGTCAGGCCTGGCTGTCACCCATCAGAGCCCCAGGATTTCCATTTCACCCAACACAGTATTGGGGTAGAACTGGGACCCCCCCTTCACCCCCACCGGCCTGACTTAAGAGACCACTTCTCTGACCACCAGCCATGGGGAAGGCAAACGCCTGGCTAAGGCTCATGCCCCAGGGTCCCAGATAGGGAATTGACTTCCTCCACCCCTGCTGGTGTGGGGAGGGTGACTGGGTCCAGGCCATCAGTGCAGACGCCTGAGGACGTGGTTGCACTGTCCCTTCTGGTCGAGGGCCACAGTCTGGGGATGTGCCCTTGGGCCCAGGCAGAGGAGAGCACAGCTGGGGCAGGACCTGGCAGCCCTGGTACAGAGCCCAGAGGGGGCATCAGTTCCTGCTGGTCCTGCTGTTTACAGACAAGCTGCTGTCCTCCCTGCAAAGGGGAGTGGGTGGGGCAGAGGGCAAGTGCCAGGGGTGCACGAGGTTGGGCGTGTGGCTGGCCTGAGACGTCTGAGGAATGTCGGGCACCTGGAGGCCTTGCCACAATGACCCCAGGCCACAGACCTCTGACCGGGGGGCAGCCAGCATCCAGTACCCCAACCCCTGCCCTAGGTCTGGTGTCCCCCCCATCAGTGAGTGTTGGCTCTGCTTATAGCATCTGACGCCAGAGGGGCTGAAAATAGCCCCTGGAGAAGGGGGAGGAGGGGGCTATTTAAAGGGCCTGGGAGGGGAGAGGGAGTGAGGAGTGATCATGGCTACCTCAGAGCTGAGCTGCCAGGTGTCTGAGGAGAACTGTGAGCGCCGGGAGGCCTTCTGGGCCGAATGGAAGGATCTGATACTGTCCACACGGCCCGAGGAGGGGTGAGTGTGGGTCCGATAGAGCCCTGCCTCTGCTCCCCCAGAGCACCCTCCCTAAGCCATGTGAGGCCAGAGCAGGAAGCCCTGGAGAAATTTCTGGGGGTGGGAGCAGGAAGAACGCTCCATGGGGAGAGTGAAGGGGAACCACCCCTCCTGCTCCCAGGTCCCAGCAGCCCCAGGGCACTTCCCACCCAGCTTGTGCCCGGAGAGCAACAGCTCCCAGGAGCTCACTGCCCCTCCCCTCTTCCCAGCTGCTCCCTGCATGAGGAGGACACCCAGAGACATGAGACCTACCACCAGCAAGGGCAGTGCCAGGCGCTGGTGCAGCACTCACCCTGGCTGGTGATGCGGATGGGCATCCTTGGCCGTGGGCTGCAGGAGTACCAGCTGCCCTACCAGCGGGTTCTGCCGCTGCCCATCTTCACCCCTGCCAAGATGGGCGCCACCAAGGAGGAGCGTGCGGACACCCCCATCCAGCTGCAGGAGCTGCTCGCGCTGGAGACAGCTCTGGGTGGCCAGTGTGTGGACCGCCAGGAGGTGGCTGAGATCACCAAGCAGCTGCCTCCTGTGGTGCCCGTCAGCAAGCCTGGTCCCCTTCGTCGCTCCCTGTCCCGGTCCATGTCCCAGGAAGCACAGAGAGGCTGAGAGGGGCTGTGACTTGGGCTCCGCTGTGCCCACCCTGGGCTGGGCCCTTCCTGGCTAGGACTGTGGAAGGGAACTGCTGGCCATGGCTGCTTTGTAGTTTGCCCAGAGTTGGGGGCTAGGGGAGGAGGGAGCCAGAGGCCAGGATGCCTGAGCCTCCTGAGTTCCCAAAGGGAGAGTGGCAGAGACGGCGGGCACTAAGGGTGGAGAGCTGGGGGCCAGCACAGCTGAGGACCCTCAGCCCCAGGAGAAGGGACAAAAGGTACTGGTGAGGGCAAGAGGTGCCTGGGAGGAGTGGCCCTGATCCAGGAAAAATGCCGGGAATCTGGAACACTCTAGGCAGAAGAGGCTGGGAGGGAGTGGGAGGTGAAGAGGGCAGAGGCAAGGATGGTGGGGCCCCCAGCACCTTAGTTAGTGCTGCAATAAACGCTCAATCATATGCCAAAGTCGCGTCTCTCCTTGTGGTTGTGGGGCTGGCCCATGGGTGTCCCCCCAGTGCCCTTTTCTGGGTCCAGGCCCTGCATCTGAGCTAAATATGGCAGAGCTAATGGGTACGCCCATACTTGGGATGGGGGGGCCAGAACGGAGCTGTAAACAGGGTGCTGTCTCCAGTCTCCTTTCCGTACCCTGCCCAGTCCTGGCTTCTGTGTCCAGCCCCCTGGCACTGGGTGGTACCCAGCAAGCCAGCTGGCATCCAGGATTTGTTTCAATGATGTCTCATGGAGAATATGGAGGGGCTGGCACCAGGACTGTCCTTGGCTTTGCCTCAGGGTGTGAACAGGGTCAGTGACCTCAAGGCTAACCTGCCTCTCAGTTCTGAATCCAGACAGAATCAATCCTTGGCAGTCTCGGTCCACCCTCCCTGCCCTGGAAGCCAGGGAAGGTTGGAGGTGCTAGGGGGTCAGGTTCCTCTCTCTGACCCCTGCAGCTGTTGCAGTGACTCATGTTCCAACCTGGCTGCCTCTCCCAAGGAGACTTTCCCCTGGGGACAGGCGGGAGGGGAGGGCACAGAGGAGGCCCCAATCAAGCAGGGCCAGGAACCCACCGTGGTAGGAGCTGGGCTGGTGGCCTACCCAGGGAGGAAGGGCCCCAGACTCATCCAGAGGGGAAGGAAGGGGTCTTCAGGGAGACCAGGGAGATGCAGAATTGGCTTCCCATCAGGGGGATAGGTGGGGAGACCCTGGCATTTTTTTTTTTTTTTTTTTTTTTTTTTTTTTTTTTTTTTTTTTTTTTTTTTTTTTTTGTTGTTGTTGTTGTTGTTGTTGTTGTTGAGACGGAGTTTCACTCTTGTTACCCAGGCTGGAGTGCAATGGCACGATCTCGGCTCACTGCAACCTCCGCCTCCTGGGTTCAGGCAATTCTCCTGCCTCAACCTCCTGAGTAGCCGGGATTACAGGCACGCGCCACCATGCCCAGCTAATTTTTTGTAGTTTTAGTAGAGATGGGGTTTCACCATGTTGACTAGGATGGTCTCGATCTCCTGACCTCATGATCCACCCGCCTCGGCCTCCCAAAGTGCTGAGATTACAGGCTTGAGCCACCACGCCCGGCGACCCTGGCATTTTGACAGCCAGGACCTAGGGCACCCGAACAGAACCGCAGGTCTGGCCTGGCCGCTGCTTCGGAGCTGAGCTGGAGTGTGGGCTGCGAGATGAGAGGGGTCAGAGCACTAGCTGCAAGCCGGTCCTGCCCATCGACGTGCACCAGCCCCAGTCCCAGGATCCGCAGGACCCCAAATCTGCCGGGCCCCAAGGCCTGCACTGCGCCCCTGGTGGCCCTCGGCGAAAGTGCCCCGCGACACGCCCCCCTCATGCCCTCCTTCTGCCCTCACCTGGGTCCCGCGCCCGCGACGTGGCGAGGACAACCCGAACCCGAACCTTCTGTCCTCAGCAGCCCCCAGATAAGCGGCTGGGAGCCCGCGGGGCCCGCAGGGGAAGCCTGGCTGTCCGATGGCAGGCGCGATAGGGGAGGCCCGGCTGTTCCGCCCGCTAAGTGCATTAGCGCCGCTCGCGTCCTCTATCGCGCCTGCCATCGGACAGGCGGTGCTGCGCCCTGGTCTGGGCCCCCGGAGCGACCACAGCGGAGGCCGGAACGGACTGTCCTTTCTGGGGCGGGGTGGGGGGACCGCTGGAGGGCCGGGTGGCGTAGGAAAGGACGAGAGAGGCCTGGAGGAGGGGAGGAGAAGGGAAGTTGGGTGGCAGTTCTAAGAGAAGGGTGGGTGCTGGGATGAGTGTCTGGGACGGAGGGGAGCCTGGCGGGGTCTGGGGCCTCGCGTGGGAGGGAGGGCTGGCGCTGCGAGGGGGAAACTGGGCAAAGGGGCAAATTCCCCAGTCTCCACCTCGAATCAGAAAAGAGATGGGGCGGGCTGCCGCGCAGAAGGGGTGAATGGCTGCGGGGAGCTGGAGAAGAGGGACGGGAGGGGCCGGCCCTCGGGGATGGGGGTCTAAAAATTGTGGGGTGAGGAACTGAGGGTGGAGGGCGGCACAGAGGCAGGACTCGGACGGGCGCAGGCGAGGCGGAGGGCGAGCGCTGCGGAAGCACGTGCGGGGCGGGGCGGGGCGGGAGCCGATTGCAGCTGCAGCTGCAGCCGCCCCCCTCACCTCCGGTGCGTCTGCCGCCCGGACACTAAGGGAGATGGATGGATGGGCTGGGGAGGATGCGGCGCGCGTAGCCCCGGGCGGCTCTGGTTCAGCTGCCGCCCCCACAGCGGACGGATCGGGGCGGGGGTCGGGCGGTAGAAAAAGGGGCCGCGAGGCGAGCGTGGCATCGGGCGGGCAGCAGCGGCAGCATGAGCGGCGCAGACCCGAGCCGCGCTGCGGGCGCAGCCCGCGACTCGGCCCCGGGCCAGGCTGCGGTGGCCTCGGCCTACCAGCGCTTCGAGCCGCGCGCCTACCTCCGCAACAACTACGCGCCCCCTCGCGGGGACCTGAGCAGCCCGGACGGCGTCGGGCCGTGGAAGCTGCGCTGCTTGGCGCAGACTTTCGCCACAGGTGGGCGCGGGAAACTGAGGCAAGAGGGACAAGAGGTCGTCGGGGAGTGAAAGCAGGCGCGGGGAGACAGAAAGGAGGCAGACCGCCCGCCGGCCAGATGAGGACCAAGAAGCAGAGATAGCTGAGAGGTGCAAACAGAAGAGAAAAAGGAGCAACAGCCCTTAGGAGAGGGGCAGAGGAAAGAGAGGAGGCGAGAGGGAGCGGAGGGCCCTCAGAATTGAGAGCTAAGATTAGGGCTGAGGTGGGAGATGCAGAGGAGGAAATGGAGGCAGAGATGATCGGTCAGGGGCGAGAAACCGCCAGGATTTCCCCGCTAAGCCTGGCTGGTAGATATAGTTTTCTTTTTTTGAGATGGAGTTTCGTTCTTCTTGCCCAGGCTGGGTTGCAATGGGCGATCTTGGCTCCCTGCAACCTCTACCTTCCGGGTTCAAGCAATTCTCTTGCCTCAGCCTCCCAAGTAGCTGGGATTGCAGGCATGCACCACCAAGGCCGGCTAATTTTGTATTTTTTTAGTAGAGACAGGGATCCACCATGTCGGTCGGGCTGGTCTGGAACTCCTGACCTCGTCATCCACCTGCCTCGGCCTCCCAAAGGGCTGGGATTACAGGCGTGAGCCACCGTGCCCGGCTGGTACCTGAGTCTCAGAGCGGAGGAACCTGAGTCCCAAAGCGGTGAAGTTCCCTTCCCAAGGGAAGTCAGTTCATGTTGGAGCTGGGTTCAGTCTAACTCTGGGGCCAATGCTTTTTCCAGATGGAGACATACTTGCAGAGGAGAAGGAAGAATTAGAGAGAGGCAGGGAGATGAAGGGGAGGGGGGAGTGAGGAGGAAGGGGCTGCCTGGGCCGGCCTGGCACCAGGACCCTCTTCCTCTGCCCTGCCCAGGTGAGGTGTCCGGACGCACCCTGATCGACATTGGTTCCGGCCCCACCGTGTACCAGCTGCTCAGCGCCTGCAGCCACTTTGAAGACATCACCATGACAGATTTCCTGGAGGTCAACCGCCAGGAGCTGGGGCGCTGGCTGCGGGAGGAACCCGGGGCCTTCAACTGGAGTGTGTACAGCCAGCATGCCTGCCTCATTGAGGGCAAGGGGTAAGGACTGGGGTGGTGAGGGCTGGGCAGGGAGGCTTCCCATAGAGTGGCTGTGGCTGGTAGGGGCAACAGAGGCCTGAGCGCAGAACAGTCTTGAGCCCTGCCTTCTGCCCCCTGTACAGGGAATCCTGGCAAGAGAAGGAGCGCCAGCTGCGAGCCAGAGTGAAGCGAGTCCTGCCCATTGATGTGCACCAGCTCCAGCCCCTGGGTGCTGGGAGCCCAGCACCTCTGCCTGCCGATGCCCTGGTCTCTGCCTTCTGCTTGGAGGCTGTAAGCCCAGATCTTGCCAGCTTCCAGCGGGCCCTGGACCACATCACCACACTGCTGAGGCCTGGGGGGCACCTCCTCCTCATTGGGGCCCTGGAGGAGTCGTGGTACCTGGCTGGGGAGGCCAGGCTGACGGTGGTGCCAGTGTCTGAGGAGGAGGTGAGAGAGGCCCTGGAGCGTAGTGGCTACGAAGTCCGGGACCTCCGCACCTACATCATGCCTGCCCGCCTTCAGACAGGCGTAGATGACGTCAAGGGCATCTTTTTTGCCTGGGCTCAGAAGAAGGTAGGGCTGTGAGGGCCCAGCGTGCCCTGCTCTTTGAGGTGGCACCTAATAAACAAATAATGGCCTGCCACTGTGCACAGTGCTGTCTGTGCCTCTCTTGGGAAGCAACAAGGGCCCAGAGATCTGAGTGTCAGGGTGGGGGAGACACTCGCCCTAGGCTTTCTTTTTTCCCAGAAGCTTCCTTGAGGGTAGCATTCTGTACCACTCATTCTTCCCAAACTAAGGAAGGCCAAGGTCAAGGGGAGCTCACCGGGCACCTGCGGTGCACCAGGCACTTGTGACATGCCATTCTGCCCATGACATCATTCATTCCTGCATTCAGCAGCAGGACCTGCTAGTCTGTTTCCAGGTGAAGCTCAGAGAGGTGAAGTAACAAACAGTGCAGCGTGGTTCAGACCACAACGGGGGACAGTGGGATCATGAGGAGATGGAAGTAGCATCTGCAAGGTGGTAGGGGTGTTACCATCAAAAAACAAAGGCTCAGGGAAGCCAAAGGGCAAGAGCTGGCTCCGGCTGCCTCTCACAAGTGGACTTGGGCTCTGCCCAGCTCTGCTCTTGGGCCTGCCATTCCCTATGCCCACGTGCCCAGGAAGAGACCCCACCTCGGTCTACTGCCTCCAGCCAGCTATGGGGCCTTCCCCTGCCCCCACAACTGTCTTTTCCTGCCCTCCAGCCCACCCTATTCACACAAATGAGCTGAACAAAGGCAGGTGAGGCTGAAAATGATTTATTAACCACGTCCCTTGCTACCCTCCCACCTTAAAACAGTTTTTAGTATCAAAAGAACCTAGCACAGGCTACCCAAGTCCCTGAGGCTGGAGTCCTAGCATAGCTCCCCTCCCCTAAAGAGGAACCAGGGGTCAGGAGCAGAGCAAAAATCCAGTCTGCTTCAACCACGGACACTGCCTTTGGCATGGAAAGTTTCTGGCACTCACTCTATCCTATCCCTGTGGGGCAGGAACATGCCAGGGCTGCTGGCAACTGGCAGGGGTCACCTTTACCAGGGTGTCGGCACAGTGTGGCTCCTGCCCGCCCGGGGGGCCACCCTGGAACAGTAAGACCCTCTGGGGAGGGCAGAAACCAGACCCAGCCACAAGCTTTCTCCCCTTCTCCCTCAATCCCTTCCCCCTCCCCAAAGTCCAGGCGATGCAAAGGGTCAGGCAGCAGGGGAAAGGGGCTTTTGGAGGGGAGGTCAACCATGCCAAGGCAAGGAGATACACAGGCTGGAGAGAGCCCCAGGCATCCCCATTTTCCTTTCTCTGCCCCCTAGGGGCTGGTTGCTGTGTGGAGGCCCTGCGAGGTGTGCAGGGGGCGTGGGACAGGGAATACACACACACAGGCAGCCTGGCTGTGCAGAGGTCCTGGCTGTCTGCCTGGCTGGGGCCTTGGGCAGAGCTGGTGCTCCACAGTGATTACTGATGGTGACATGATTCCCTCATCCTCTCCAACCTCTCAACTGAGGGCACATTCACCGGCAGTCACACTCGCCTCTCTCACACGCCCACCAGCACGCTCACATGCATGTTCCCCTAACCCAGCTAACCCACCCGCACCCTACACACACACACTTTGAAACCACACCTCGTACCCCGCAACACCCCTCTTCATGCTGCACACGTAGGCCTGAGCTCACACACACCCAAGCCCATGCTTACCACAGGTCAGCTATGCACTCGGCCTGGCCCACACTCCCGACACAGGGTGGAAGGCTCTCAACCAGACCTCAGCAAGGGATCCTTGCCCTGGGCTTGCTGGGGCCCTGGCCCTGAAGGGGAGTGTGGTGAGGCCTCCTGGGAACCTGGCAATGATCAGAGTGAAATCCCTTCCCAATCCCAATCCCAGCAGCTTGGTCCCTCAAGATCCCATCAGGAGAATCACCTTGAACCTTGGCTGGCCAAAGAACAAGCATCCGGCGCCACCTAGTGGTGTCCTGGAGGAGGGTGGGGGTGGCAAGAGAAGGGGACCTCCTGTATCCCTAAGGCCTGTGGTCCCCGGTCTCCCAAGTAGACAGAGGGCTCTGGGACCAAGCCAGGCAGCGGGGGATGTGGGGAGGAAACAGGCAGCTTTCCTCCCGGTAGAGCTAAGAAGACACTCAGTTCAGCTCCAGGAGGCAGAGGGGCTGCCCATTCTCTAGTCCCAGATGCTGGGAGGCCTTCCCTAGCCCAGGCTCCAAGGCTGGTGAGAGCCAGCAGGAGTGGGCCGGTCAAGTAATTCTGGGCCCACATCCTTCATGTCCAAGTTCAAGAAGTTGAAAGGAGAAAATGAATCATCTCAAGGGTTGGGGAGAGAAGGGGGGTCAGCAGGGTGGGGGCAGGATCCCCACTGGGGCAGACCCGCTCCCAAGGTCTTCAGTCCTGCTTAAACTTGGCTTCTGATTCCTTCAGCAGATACAAGCTGTCATCTTCCAGAAAGCTGTGGGCCAAAGGAGGAGCCCACTGAGGCACACAGCTCTGAGAGCTCGTGTGGGGGTGGGGTGGGGTGCAGGCAGGCAAGGTGGGAAGGGCTGGATGGGCACACAGAGCCCCCAGTCTCCCCTAAGAAGTGGGCCAGGGAGGGCTCAAAGGTGAGCACCGGGCGGAGGCAGCACCCACCTGAAAAATAGGACATGGACAGGGATGGTGCTGATGTGCCAGATGGCATGGGCATCCAGGACCCAGAAGAGCGGTGGGAAGTCCAGTAGCTCCAGCAGGGACAGCCCCTGCAGCAGCAAGACCACCACCACACACTTGCGCACGTGAGGTAGCCGTCGCTGGTTCCACAGGCACCAGGCCAGCCACCATACCACGTTGACCAGGCCTGGGTGCCAGGTGGGGACAGGAGAGACTCATTCCTTTGGCTTCTTCCCAAGGCCGCCCCCAACTCCATGCTCTCTGACCCTAGGATCATCCTCAGACTCTCCTCCCGGCCTCCTCTCTCTCCCACCTCAAATTCTTCCCCATTCCTCTACCCCAAGGGTCCCTCTAGAAACTCCTCTCCAGAAATGGCACCAACCCCCCACTCATACCCCACGCTAGCACTTCCGCAGATGGCCCAAGCTCCCCAGGGCCTCACCAATAGCCACGTTAGCCACCAGGTTGTAGCCATAGTCGAAGCGGATGAGGCTCAGGTAGGAGACGTGTGCGGTCAGCATTAGCAGCAGGAGAGCCCGGAAGGCACTGAGCACAGCTGGGTGCTGCAACCCCACGGTCCTGCCCCACCATCCAGGGCTGCTCAGAGGGCGGCGGCCCATCTCCAGAGCAGCATTTCCCGAAGCATCTCCTCCCCCCAACATGGGTACATGGTCCCTCAAGCCACTACCCCTCTCCCCACCAAACGGGTCCACTGGACAGGCCTCCAATCCTCCCAAAGGCCGGGGGCCAAGTGCCACAGCTCCTTGTCAGAAGCCAGGGCCCCCAGTCCTACCCCAGGGTCCCTACCCAGGACAGCTGATGGGGGGGTAGGCGTTGGGAGACTAGTGAAGAAGGCCCTCAGAGCAGCACCCCCAGGGGAGGGCTGGGTGACCCCTTTCTGCCCCCAGGGCTCAATTTTGCCCCTGCAGCCACCCAGGCAGGCTCACCTGACGCAGCACAGATAGATTGAGTGCAGGATGACAGTGGAGGCACAGAAGTAGTCCATTTTCTGAGGACAGGGAAAGGCAATGAGGGAACAGCAAGAGGCTGTGCGGAGAGGACCCGAAAGGATAGGGGCATGGAGGGGTGGCAGGGAGGGGACGGGGGTCCTTGGCCTGCCTATACCTGTTTCACTCCAGCTGAGCCTTGTGTTCACATCATTGTACAATTTTTTTGTGCTCAGGAGGCCGGGTGCAGTGGCACTTTGGGAGGCCGAGGTGGGCAGATCTCAAGGTCAGGAATTCAAGACCAGCTCGGCCAACATGGTAAAACCCCATCTCTACTATTTTTAAAAATAAAAAATTAGGCCGGGCGCGGTGGCTCACGCCTGTAATCCCAGCATTTTGGGAGGCCGAGGCGGGTGGATCACAAGGTCAAGAGTTCAAGACCATCCTGGTCAACATGGTGAAACCCCGTCTCTGCTAAAAATACAAAACATTAGCTGGGCATGGTGGCGCGTGCCTGTAATCCCAGCTACTCAGGAGGCTGAGGCAGGAGAATTGTCTGAACCCAGGAGGTGGAGGTTGCCGTGAGCCGAGATCGCGCCATTGCACTCCAGCCTGGGTAACAAGAGCGAAACTCCGTCTCAAAAAAATAAAATAAAATAAAAATAAAAAAATAAAAAAAAAAATTAGCCGGGTGTGGTGGCACATGCCTGCAGTCCCAGCTACTCAGGAGTCTGAGGCAGAAGAATGGCTTGAACCCAGGAGGCAGAGGTTGCAGTGAGCCGAGATCAAGGCACTGCACTCCAGCCTGGGCGACACAGTGAGACTCTGCCTCAAAAAAAAAAAAAAAAATTCTTAGGAACAAGGCTTTAAGGACACTGGTGGAGGGGCCCTGCTGAGGCTCCGGGACATAAGCACCCCGCATGGAATTCAGAGTGCAGTGTGGAGTCTGATAGCCATAGGGTCCCGTCCTGGGGCAACCCTTTACTAGCTGGGTGCCCCTGAGCAAGCAGGCCACCTCTCCAAGGCTCAGCTGCCTCATCAGGCAAGAGCTCATCATCATCCCCACCTGATGAGGCTCAAAGCGGCTCAAGGGCACCAACAGGTGCAGGATGCATGGCCCTTGCTCCTCCCAGCGCTCCCCAGAGGGAGTTGGCGTGACCCTCTAAAGCCCCTCTGCCCGATTCTGGGCTCCTCTGGGACCACCCTGTGCGGAGTAGGGGGAGCTAGAGAGTGCTCACCTCTGTGAGGTCGGTGTCCCTGGTGTGGAAGACTGTGGACCAAAACCATGCGTTGAGGGACACCTGAGGAAGAAGGGGCTGGTGAGCACACTGCACCCCCACGCCCCGAGGCCAGGACCCCCACAGGCTCACATCCATTTCACCTTCGGGGAGGGGCTCTGTGGGGCAAGAAATGTGCTTTTCCTGCCCCTGGAGCCCTCCAAACAAACCTGTGTCCCTCTACCCCCAC